ACGTCAGTTGGACCTGGCTTGCCCAACGCCTGTATAGATTGCATGGGGCTTTTTCTCTAACAGCTGATTGAATCAGCTATTAGATAAAAGTGCCAAAAAGTCACGCTGAAGTGTGTGATCTACACAAATGTTGGGCAATTCGAGTCAAACTGACATGATGCCTCGTTTTGGGCAGGCGCTATGCTTGGTGTGGGGGCATGCCAAGCTGAAAGTAAAGCCCTGTTTTGTTTGATTTTTTTCACATCTGTAAGCATCCTGAAAGAGGGACCTCAGTTCTCTGTGACCTCTGGCTGCACGCTGTCTGCAGAGCGCACTAGATGCTGAATAGCAAAGACATTTTTGGAAAGTTACCTTTTTAATCAAAAGGGTTTGAATGGTTTTGTCATGGAAGCTTAAGTTCAGCAGAAGTTGCTGAGGCCAACAGAGAGGTGCAAGTTTAGTCTCCAGCCCACTGAATCTCAGGCAAACCCAACAGACCATACTTAGTCTGGGGAAATCCTACTCCTATTTGGCATGTACATAACAACTTACACCTGCCTCAGGTAAGATGTGCACCAGTGCATGCAATTCAAGAACATGACTGGCCCTACTCCAGGTGAGAATTAACTCCAATTCCTACAGAAACACTCATGGTCTGAGGTGGGATTTGGGCTCAGTTGTAAGCCGATGGGCCCATGCTGTTCCAGCTGCTAATGGTCCATGGCTGGGTGTGCTTGAACACTGAGGGACCAGTCTGCGAGGTGAAGAAGCTACTGCTCGGATGCAGCTTGTGAGGCATAGTTTATTGTGTCATATGTCTCCGTTCTGTTGCAACCATGCAAAGCGTATATAGCAGCTGTGATTATGCCAGTGCATTTGGGGGCCCCTGACACCTGTCCTGCGTCCCCAGCACTGTGTATTCTTTTGACCAGATCTGTGGAGGCTTCCTGAAAATGCCTCAGTGACACTGTTTTAGATGGCACCAGCTCAGCCACACCTGCTTTAGAGACCCAGTCCAGGCTTACAAAAGGCCTGTAGTAGTGGGTGGATATAGAGTTCATAGATTTCATAGACATTAGGGGCTGGAAGGGACCT